ACGCAATCTTATAGGATCTTTTCTGAGAATGATGGTTTAATAGTTAAAACTTAACAGTGCCAATCATGGCTCTGCCACTGATTGTGTAGACATTGAACAAATGGCTTAAACTTCTTAAACTTAAGTTTCTTCAGCTGCAAAGTGGAGTTGTTTTGAGGTTTAAATGGTAGAATGCATTTCAAACACCTAGCCTAGAGATTGGCATATAGTAAGGATCTGATAAACATTGTTATTATTATTACTACTATTATTACATACTAGCTTGACTATCCATTGTTTGAGTATTGACAACGGAAAACATGTGTGACCGAGAACAAATACCAGGATGTTTGGATTTGGAAAAAATTCCAGCCTTCAGTTTCAAATGGCCAGCACCAGCTTTGGGACCTTGGCCACTACTGACTCTTCTTTAAGTTTCCCTTTGCCAAAAAAGTGCCACCCCCACTCAACCCTCTTCTCGGTCTCTGCAGGTCCTTCCTGGAGAAAGCAGCATATTTTTCTCATTCAAAACGTGCGCTCCATAGCCTGACAAGTATATGTAAGCCTACAACTGGACAATGGTACAGAGTATTTAGATCTGGTTCTAGTTTAATCATTCTGGGACATGTGCCAGCGGGAACCCATAGGCAGCAAATGGGCCTGGCACCCTTCCCTCCACAACTCAGCCACTGCCCAGGTGGCCAACACCTGCTGCACTGGACACCCTCTGCGTGAAGACAGTGGGTTACCAGGCTATTTAATAAGGGTGGGAGGGCGGTCAAAGTACAGTCATCAGCCATTGGCACCTTGGAGTTATTATCTAAAAAACCTCCTAATAAGGTCTTCGGGGAACAAACAAGGACAGTAATGGACTCCAAGTGATTTCTAAACTGAAATTCTACCTGAATGTGACGCCACCTGGGCACCTGGTGTCCAGATATGAACAAGGGGAAATCCATCAAGTGTGGGATGGGGTTGGTAGTTGTTCAGATTCCTAATTTTATCTAAAACTGTCTTTGTTCCTGTGAATTTCAAGGTGGCAGGGTCACGGGGCCTGAAGTCACCCCGGACCTGCCTCGTATCATTCTGGGTCCCGGGCTGGGAGTGGGGAGCAAGGCTGTGACCGAGTCTTTTTCTCGAAATCCCCGGCGGGGGCCGAGTCAGGGGCTCCCCTTCCAGCTCATCACGTGCACAACCAAAGCTTTTCAAACCGCCTCAGAGGGTGATTTTTAGGGTTTTCTTTCTTTATTATTTCCCTTCTTGTTCTCCACAGTTGATGATTTTCTGCAGAAAAACGGCTGAGAAAAAGAACCTATTACATTTCCACTTCCCATCACAGCGATTTCCACATGGATGTGACGTTGCCCCAGCTTCCGAAATGCCCAGGTGACTCATGCGGGGACACCCCGCTGCGGAGCTCAGGAGTTTCTCTGGCCGAGGCCCCAGGGGGCGGGGCGGAGCTGAGAGGGG